ACATCCTAATAGGAGTTATAGTTAGATAGGAGCTTCTTATCTAATAAGTAGTAGTTAAGAGTATCCTATTTAGATAGGGTTTAGATCCTACGCTTAATCTTATATAGGCTAGTAGTAAAGAATTTATTAGAAGATTTTTTTATATTAAAATAGAAAGTATTAGTAGAAATAGTAGCAATTTAAAATTTTATAGGTAGAGTAATAGTTAACAATTAGACTAGGGTAGGTAGTGTAATAGGTTTAGTAGCAGCCCTATAAGTGGCTAGAATTTTAAGTATACTACGTATCCTATTAATTAAACCAGGACTATTTTAGTTCTAGTTCTCCTCTTAATCCTAAAGGGCGTCTCTTTGCAAGATGTTGTGGGTAACTAGAGTAGACAGCACTTGCTAGTAGAGTCGTACTAGAATAGGAGGTGCGGGGTCGTAGGTTAGAGGATATTTCTCTAGCTAGATTAGTCGAGATTTATCTGTATTAATTAGGATTTAGAACTATTTTAGCTAGTGTTATCTAATAATATAATCCTAAGAACCTAAGTCTACTATTATAAAGGGGTAGTTATAAACCTTTTAGCTACTAACTATTATATAAAGCTAAATGTAGTAGGCAACTAGGGAGGTAATCTAGTCCTAGAACCCTTTAATAGTAAGCTTGTATAGTAACTTTTAGATAGGTACCCTAAGTGTAGAAGAGATATTATAAGTAATTTTTAAATTAAGAAATAAGTAACCTTAGGCCCTAGTATCTACTAAAGCGTTTAGGTAAACACTAGATCTATTAAGGTATAGGGTTATATGTGCAAGTAAATAGGAACTAACAAATAATTTAGTTAAGGAAAGGTTTAACAGGTTATATTAAGTTAGGCCTAGGAAGGAGGATCCTCCTAGGCGTTGTTGTTTCCTGTCTAATAGCTATCTAAATTAGTTAATTTAGCGGTATCTTCTTCCTTAGAATTCTTAACAACCTGTTCTATATCTATAGCCTAAATCCTAGGGGGTTTAGGGTAGTTACTAGAGAAGTGCCTAGGCTTTCTATAATTATAGCAAGTTACTAGGGTTCCTATTATAGTAGCGCTAGGAGTAGCTAGCGTAGTAGATAGGGGTTAATTATTTTAAGGGATAGTGCCTTGTTATTATAAGTAGGGTATATAAGGTTTAGCTATTAAAGGTCTATTATAGGGTTTCTAATTAGGGTCTAAATAGGACTAATTTCTAGAGTGTTAGAAGGGGGTTAGTCCTTTTCTAGATAATAGAGTAGTCTAGGTAGGAGCAGACAAGGTAGGGTATAGGCAGCGTTCTATATTAAAAGCAGTAAGATAATCTACTATAGTCTTAAAATTATTATGCTAATTCTATTAGAAAGTAAGGTTTAGTATCCTTAGGGAAGGTGTAATCTTTATCTAGAGGTAGTAATACTACTCTAATTAGGGTACTTCTCCTCTAATAGCAAGACTCTAGAATTATAACTTAAAAGCAGGGAATATCTCTATATTAGTTATATACAGGCAGTTAAATATAGTCTAACTCTTAGCTATCTTATTTCTAGTAAGGAAGTAAGTTTAAAGGAGGGTAATTATTTCCTTAGCTTTTTAGAATTAAAGACTTAGGGAATTAGATAGGTAACGTGGCTCTAAGTATTCTCTTGCTAGTCCTAAGCAGTGTCCCTAGACTAACGCTATCTAAGCTCTAGAAGAGGGGTAGTAATTAGTGTTAATTTCTAGCCTATCCTAGATAGATGCTTGCTATTATCTAAAAGTAGGATTAGCACTATTACTAAGTATAGAGATATTTAGCGTCTTTTTAGATTATCTCTTAGCTTTTATAGTATACACTATAGGGTTTAATATAAAAGCTAAAGACTAGCTAGGTTAGGTAGTACCCTATATCTCCTTATAGAGGGAGGTGTTGTATAACTAATTAGTAAGTTGCTTAACTTATTCCTCTAACCTCTCCTTTTTAGATAGGGTTAACATGTATTTATCTTTAAGGGAGGTGTTGCTTTAAGATTTCCTAGGAGCACAAGGTACCTTAAGAGATAGATAGGAAGCAGGTCCTTCTAGGAGGGCGTTATTAATTAAGTCTTCCTTATCTAATTTCTTTCTATTAGTAAATAGGCTTTTAAAAGTAGCTAAACTAGATACCCTTCCTTTGCCTTTATCTAATATTTTATAGTTAATAAGAATAATAAATCTTTTCTTTAGGGGGTTTAGTTATAGGAGGATATTAGCTTTGCCTCTAATTCCTCTAGGCTTTTAGTAGTCTCTAGGTCTCTACCTTAACGCAATCTAACGCGATTTTTCTAAAGGTAATCTAGCACTACCTATAGGTCTAGAAGTCTAAGCCTATAGGCTTTGGTTATTAGAAGTTCTAATAGCTATTCTAACTATAGAGTTGCAGGGTTAGATAGCTACTAGAACTAAATTAGTAGCTTAAAATAACAATAAGTGCGATATTCTTAAATACTATTACTAGCTAGGAGGATATTCTTCTTATAATATAACAACTTAGGTAGGTAGGGTATCTAAAAGGTATCCTATACAACTTAAAGGTATATAGGAGTGCGCGTCTATATAGAGAAGGATAAGATTCCTACACCTATAGGTCTTGTACAAAAGGACAAGAAGAATATACCTATCCTAACTATAGGCGAGCTATTCTCTATATACATTAGTGAGTTAGGCCTTTATTAGTCCTAACTTAGCATAGAACAATAGGTAGGCAATTCTGCCTTATTGTTACACTTCTATACCCTTAGTCTAAGTATTAGCAATAGTAACGCACTTAGCAAGGTTTTAGGCAGTTTCTTAAACAGTGGCCTTAAACTGTTTAACATCCTTCTAATAAGTAACTACAGCTTCCTTATCCTTATCCCCTTTAGCAGGGTTTGCTACTAAGCTATAGTAATTATCTAGAGCACCCCTAAGGGCAGAGTACTCTTAGCTAATAAAAGAAGGAATCTACTAGAATTAGTAAAGGAACCCTATTAGACTTAGATACTTACTAGATTGCAATACTTATTCTAGGAGATATAGTACTAGCACTTCTTAGAATTCTTTAACTTAAAATTAAAATTATTAAACCTACCCCTAGCTAGAGCCCTAACTACCCTTATATAGAGAGCGCGATAAGCAATAGGGAGGACTCCTAGTAGTACTAGTACTAGCATAGCTAAAGGTTCTAATTTAGATTAGTAACTATTTAATTATATAGATTAAATACTTACTAGATTTTAGATAGATTAGGTTAAATATTTAAAAAATTAGGGATATAGGAATAAGAAAGTTAGTAGGTAGAGGGCTAGTTATATGCAGGCTAGGGATAGGGGTCTGTGCCCTAGGAAGAAGAAGTAAAGGTAAAGGTAGAGGTAAAGGTGGATTTATTTTATAAAAAGCTCTTCTTTTATAAGAGATCTAAACCTAATCCTAAGGATAGGGACTATCCTTTCTCTATAGGAGGGGGTAGTATAATAATAGGGTAGAATTGCCTACCTATTATTCTATGCTAAGTTAGGCCTAATAAAGGCCTGACTTACTAATATATATAGAGAACAGCTCGCCTATAGTTAGGATAGGTATATTCTTCTTATCCTTTTGTACAAGACCTATAGGTGTAGGAATCTTATCCTTTTCTATATAGACGCGCACTCCCATATGCCTTTAAGTTATATAGGATACCTTTTGGATGCCCTACCTACCTAAGTCGTTACAATACCCCTATATAACCTACTATCTAATTAACTACTAGCTTACTACTAAGTGCCTAATAAAAAGTAGGAGCTCTAGTAAGGAAGGTTTACTAATTATTCACCTTCTAGTAAGGGTAGCTAAAGCTCTATATATATAAGTCTGATTATAGTAGATACAATCTAATAATCTATCTCCTAAATCATTCTTAACCTTAGTAATCTAGATTTCTATAGATACCTTTTAGATGCCCTACCTACCTATATTGTTATAATTATTACTCTATTTTAATAGGGTTAATATAGTGTATTTAGTGCTTTTAAATATTCCTTAAACTAGCCTAATATATAATACTTAGAACTAATATAGTTTTATTTATATAGACTACTATTATAAAGGGCTTAGGCTTACGCCTAAGCCTAGGCCTAACACAGGATAGACAGAGTCTAACACCACTACTAAGCGAACACGCTACACACCTATAAAAAGGCGTAAAGGGCTTACCTCTCCTTTAAGATACTAAATACTATTATTAATACTTATTGTATTCTCCCTTAAGGCTAGTCTATAATAACTACTATTAATAATATTTACTCTATATTACTATCTATAACTACCTACTAATATCCCTCTTACTCTTACAAGTCCTAACTAAATACTCTTGTTATACTTTAACTCTTTTTAAGCTAAAAGTCCTTCTTAACTATATTATATATATAATATTGTAATAATTATTATTTATATCTTCTTTTATATTAATATATAATATATACCTTATATTTTAGTAGAGGATATATCTTATACTATATATAATCTTTCTTATAAGTATAATAGGGTTTTAACTTATTCTAGTAGTAATAAAATAAGTATATTACTTAACTTTCTAAACTTAGCTTCTTAGCTATTTATATATGGAAACTTTATAGTATATATTCTTTTAGTAGTAAGCTATCCTTTACAAGTTATTTATTATACCCTTTAAGGACTACCTATAATAGTAGATTAACTAATTATTAACTAAAGATCTTAGTAGCTTTATTACTATATTTATACTATAACCTTTAGATTAAGCTTATCTAGTAAATATTAAACTATTTTATAACTTTTATATATATAGGGTTTTCTACTAATAGCTATAATTTAATCTATCTTATTACTATATTAATTAGATCTATATTAGGTAAGTTTTTTAGCGTAAAAGATATTGCGATTATAGTATTGTGGTGTTAGGGCGTGCGCTCCGCTAACACATGCATAACGCGCGCAGCCCTGGTAGTAGGCGACTACTTCGCTGGTTAGGCAGTGGTACTTGCCATGTTCACATAACCCCGTCTCTTTGCCAGGATTTCTGAGTGCTCCTATGTTTGAGGGAGCGCCACCTCGATCTTAATTGGGACATGGCTGGCCTCTCCAGGTCAGTCTTGATCTTGACCTCGTCGTCTGCTTCAATCTCGAAGACAAACTGCGGAGCGGTCATCTCAATGGGATTATGCTCACTATCTAAGCCCACTCTGGTGTAGCTTCCGCTTCTCTTTAGCATCCTCTCGCTTTTGAAAATGCTTTGCCGGCCTTGACTACCTGTTCGAGCAGTATCTTGCCTAGAGTCCTATTAGGCTTCTCAGAAGCGCGGCTGCTTTACGCTGCCCACACAATCAGCAACTTCTAGGGGATAGCACTGACGACAATTTCACCTTTAATGTCTTTGGCTGTGAAGTAGACTTAGTGACACGCTAGCCATCTAGTCAGTCAAGCTTTCGGCTGCGGGAGAAGAACACGTACGCTTTTGGGTGGCATGGTAGCGTCTTGGTCTCGTGATCGTACTATTCTGCGAGACACGGGAGGCTACAACGATAGATGGTAGAGGATTAAGACGCTAAAGGGACTGAAAGATAGAGAATCTTGAATCTCTTGTCGCGAAACATGTAACTAGTCTAACGGTATTGTGGTAAAAGTAAACGTGATGCCCGGAACATATTATGCAGACATGGTTGGTTTGTTCTCGGTGAAGAGTTTAGAGTATGCCTCGTTGGCCTTCTGACGCGCCTCCCAATGGTCCATCTCCTCTTCCGTTGAATTTTCGTTAGGCTGGCTCATTCTCTTCGCTATCCTACATATTCGATCATCCGGGTGCTCAATCCAATCTTCCGGTGTGGCCCATCCCTTATCCTCCCACTTCTGCTTCTCCTCTTGACTCCACTTGAACTCAGGTAAGCAATTCACCCTCGATCGATCAATCTTCATGAAACGCCAGATGTACGGATGATCAAACACTCTGCTCAAGGGCACTGCTAGGCGCAGGCGCCTTATTGGCGGCGGACGGTTCTCTTCGTTGAAAGCCTTCCATCGCACCGCAGCGATGGAGAAGGTGCATGGGGGGCAGGATTTTGCAAGCTGGTTTGGCGTCTGCGGAGGAGCGGGTTGCAAGAAAAAAGGAAAGATGGCGCGGAAAGACGTCTCTACTACTGCATGGAGATATGTGCAGCGGCAGGATGACGCATAGCTGGGCAAACCATCGGCACTGGTGTTGAATTGATCCAACTTGTTCACACCGTCCAAGCAATTGGTGTCGTCGTAGTATAGGTCGAGCGCTGCCTTGGCATCGAAGCCACGCATGTAGACTAAATGGGCAAAGGGCAGGGTGAAGCCATTGACAAGGTATTTGTCCGGATGAAACCTGATGGCGAACTTGCGAAAGGCAGCCGTGTAGGCGTGGCGATTCACAATCTTGGAATCGAGGGGTTCGGGAAGGCCGAGGATACGGGCTGGACATTCGGCATGCATCCAGCTAGACGGATATTTCAGTGAGTACCGGGTAACTATGGATGGCTGAGCTGCTTTGGCGAGAGCGAAATCGTAGTTGAATTTCATGTACATGCTGCCCACGAGCGCTGCGGTGGCGACAGTAACAGCGGCTTTGGCGATGATGCGCGCAGATGGCATGCGGATGCGCGAGATGCGATTCTTCCACCTTGAAGGTGTGGTCGTAATATACTTACGGGTTCGTTTAGCCAAGCTCACCGTTGTGTTTGCCATCTTGCCTGGTGTTTGAAGCATAATGTGGCAACCACGCACCATACTGCTCTGCATTCGCTGCAGCCATTGCTTACCCGTGCATCTAGTCGCATGCTTCCTCTGTCTGGCCCCGGTTTCGGCTCTAGGGTCCGCCATGTGCCTTGGCCAACGTCTACGACTATCTGGTCCCAGGCTCATTGTGCGTCGAGGCGCCGGTTGTTGGATAGCTTGTAGTTCAAACGCAACCGATGGAGTAACAAGACGGTGTTCTACGCCTTCCCAATTCAACGAGTATTCGTGCCAGAAGAGGTCCCTGTTCGAGGTTTCGCGGCTTGGATGGATCGCAACGGGCTCTATCCGCTGAGCAGCCCGGACCTCGTCTGAGACGCTCATCCTGGAAGGATGTTTCTTGTTGTTGAAGAGTCGATGGATTCAGGATGAGATGGAGGGGATGATCTATGGTATGATTAGAAGTGCAATTCGAACTGTTGACGATTCCCTTTGTTCTTTGCTTGTGCGTTGTGGACATGCAACTTGTTCATGGGCCCAAAGGCATGTCTTTATGTTAATCAGGGTTGAAAGGCAGCATGTTGAGAAGCAGCGAACACCATGAGATGACAAATCAACTTCGATAAAGAGCTGTCGTTGGCATTTGCCCATAATCCTGTACTTCTTTGTTCGTAACATTGGACCCGACAACCAGGCAGGATGCATTTGCAAATGACCCAATCAATGGCCGCCCAGATCGCGGACGGCCGCATTTTCTCTCAAGACTGTGCTTGCATCATGAGGCTGGCAAAAGCGGATCCCAAGTCGCTAGTTAGCCCAGTCTCTTTCCAATTTCCTGCCTCCACTTATGCACCTCTCCATTGTCTACGCGCTCGGCTACTTTCTTCATGCTCTCTCCTATTTGACCCTTGACCGCTTCTTTGACGCTTTCCTTAATTTTGAAACCGACTTCTTTGTCTATACCAACGATATGATCTGGCCAGGCAATGTGCTGCATCTTTCCTGGAAAGGTCTTGCCAAAGACGTGCATGCATTTCTGCTGAAGCTCGCACTGCGTCTTCAAATACTCGTCCAACATATTATTCGATCCCCAATCGGTTTTGATGACGGCAAGCAAATGGAGCACGCAAAACATTTGCTCGGATAGAGCGGAGAGCAGCAAACATGTCTGAGGTTCGTCAGTTGATCTGCATTGAGGGATTGAGGGAGTATGGGTAGACCTGCTTCATCCATGCTTGACTTTGCATGCTCATCGGTGTTTGTGACTAGGGTGTCAGCTTGCTCGGAGGGCTCCGCGGACCCTAGTGATTTCGTGCCGACCGAGTCAGCTTCCGCCTGTGTACTAGAGACCATGCTGACCGCCGCATCGCTTTTGGTGTTCTTTTTATTGTAGGACCTCATGGGATCAGAATGAAAACTTGTCCTAGACGTCAGTGCCACCTCTTCGTCTCCACCTGACTTTGTGGGTTGCGGAACGTTTGCCATCCATCGATTCCTCTCTTCTGTGAGCGCTTTGGCCTTGGCCGCCCATTCGTCTACCATGTCCCAAGCGGTGGTAAGCTCTTTTCTCAGATTGTCGTTCTTGGTGAGACAATCCTCGCTCAGTTCGCGCATATACTTGAAGGTCAGGTCTTCTGATTCGAGCTTGGTGCGACTGTTTCGGGTGTAATTATTGTCCATTGCCATGGTCTCCAGTAGGAAGCTACTTCCTGGGCTTCGTTCGGTGGTGATGAGAGCAGGTAGCCTGAGGAGCGTGTTCCGTATCGGTGTGATGAGCGATGTTTAGGCCATGACTAATTCCTGACTTGTGCGTTCGCCTATGCAGTCTCCCGTCTAGGCGCAGACGGCCAAAAGTGCGTACGTACGGGACTGAAGACATACACGACTTCTGGTGCCACTCATTTGCACAGTTTCAATTTTGAAACAGCAATGAAATTAGGACCAGACTAGATTCACGCGTCGCCCCGAGGGTTTAGCGATACTTAGGAGAGGGCGATGAGCGTACATTGCCAGACTGATATCGCCGTGTGTCCCCTTCTTTGCACGACACCACTGCCCAGCATGCCGCAGTCTTCCTTCTTTGAGAAAGATAGGGCCGCAATAGACACGGTGGACACGACATGCCCCAAGACACTGACAGTTGAGGACGAAGAAGACGAGAGATGTCCTACTGAGTCCTGGAAGACGCTATCGTACGAGGATCATGCGACAGCGACAGCAACAATAAAGAGCACTCTCTGGATTACCGAGTTCGAGTTCACAACGATCCAGGTGACGGATTCGGAACGTATCCCTTGGACGACGCGACCAGACGAGCTCCATGCAAGCACAGCCACGCCCATGGGCACGCCAGTTGTCACCCATTTCGTCACCAGCCGCTCGACGGTCAGCGAGGATACGATGAAGCTTTCCAGCGAAGTCATCCAATGCCTTCTTGCGGTCGTCTTTGTGGGCTCTATGCTTTGGCTTGCCACATTCTGGCGTGGGTGGGTAACATACCAGCTGGGCCTCGCCTCTTCCCCTCTATGGCTGGGCCGTCGACTAACACGGGCTGTAGCAAGAGCGCCTTCCGTACCTTGTGCGTCCTATCACCAACCTTTGCCCCGTCAGTCCTTATCTACTGGCTGAGGCCCCAACTGCATACGCTTGATCTTGGCTGGGCGTCTAGCAACGTGCTTCTGACAACAATCGCCGCGACTTCCTTCCTCGCCGCCTCGCTGCTTGTATTAGATGTCACGGGCGTGACCACGCTCCTCTACGAACTGTTCGACGTGCTGCGCAGGTGGAGGCATGCCGATGGATGGAAGTTTGGCTGGGGCTGGACGTCGGACGCTCGGGCAGGCGCCAGACGCGAGTTTACGTCTACCCACCCGGCAGCGACTTGTCCAACTGGGAGAGACCCGCTGCCAGGGATCCCTAGGTGCGGCTCATACCTGTAGGTGCAACTTGATGACTGGCGCTTCGAGCTGCCTAGGTGGCTCTCGCATACCGTATTGGAATTTGGCTGTTTACGGTGAGACAAAGAATACCAGTATAAGGAGGAGAAGATCGTCATACACATTGATAGAGTAGTGCACAACCCTAATGATAAAACCACGTCCGTTCTCGAAGACAAGTCTCGAAGACGAGTCCTGAAGACAAGCCGACTGTTTCCCAGGCAGTTCGTCGCTTATCGAGCGACTCTGGCAATTCGTGACAAAAGTTCAAAGACAAGTGACTACTCTAGGTTGCCAAACTCGTATTGGTAACCGGCCGAGGTCATGTGATAGCTAGCTGTTAGGAGTATGGTGGGTGCTTGGCAGGCACGTGACACTCATCCCCGTCACCCCTCACCCCTCACCCCTCGCCACCCTCGTCTCGTCTCGCACGGGAGCGTCACTCAGCACTCAGGCAGCCAGCCACTTGTTTTTACGAGGCTTCCAGCACTGAGCATGGTGACACGGACGCCGGGTCCTGGCCATAGGAGTACATCAAGATGATCCATGAAGGTATGCACGCACAGATGAGTCTTTGTACTCTGTTATAACACAATCTTGACAGAAGACAGAAGCAATTACTAGACGGCGCCCTCGACCTCGTACTCATTCCTGTCCTCTCCACGTCACGTTACTCCATGGCCGACACGGGGCCCAGTCTTATCTGGGTGGCCGAGCTATGGGTTCAATACTATCAGGCTTTCCTTGTCATCCTCACCATTCTGCTTTCCCTCTTCTGCTACTCCCTTCTGGCACCCTGCTGCAGGTCCCTCTGGAGGCAGTTCACGGACAACAATGTTTTCTGGAGGACGTTTGGGGCAACGTGCATGGCTCTCCTCTTGTGCATATTGCTACCCCTTACCGTTGCCTGGTTTGTCTGCAGTGGGGCGCAAAGTTGGGTGAGTATGCATTCTCCCACCATGAGAAGCGCCAAGAAGACGCGGCTCATGCTCCATAGTCAATCACCACATCCCCTTCCCGGCTGGCCTCATCCTATCCTCCGATCCCAATGGTTCCCCCTGTTCAGTGCCCTGATGGACGATCCAACGATTGCCACGCTCCTACAGTCTACAAGCATATTGAGCGTGGTGTCGTCGACTGCAGCATGCGAGCTTTAATCCAGCGTGAGTGGGTCCGCGATGAAACCATTCCAGGATCCCAGATGATTGCCCGCTCGCTGTCAGCAGAATGGGAGGCCGCTCAGCGTGCACTAGACGTCCATCATGATTCACTGCGACTGTACGTCGACAAGGAAGCCGACGTGAACATGGCCATGCACCGTGCTCTCCAATTGTTTGCCGAGCTGTCGTGGAGCCGGAATGTGCCCACTAGCTATGCGGAACAGCAGCTTGGACATGCCACGTGGAATGGGTCATCTATTATGTGCGACCTCTACACCTCTCTTTTCTCTTCACGATCTACTTACATTAAAGGTCTTGTTAGACTGGGTCTCAATAACTCGATGAGTACTATGTTACGTGCAACTATGCGAACGACATTCGTGGCGAACCAACATTGGAACAAAGACGTCTTTTTCCTCAAGTGCTGGTACAACCTACACCACAGATGCAAGGTTGGCGACATTCTACCAACTAACCAACACGATTTCAAGATGATGTTCGAGAGAGCGCAGAACCGTAAACAGAGTTGGAACACTTTTGCCACGGATGCGTTCGACCGCTACCTCAAGGAAGAATCCCGCGTCCTGGACCACCTTGACAGAGAACAACGGGGCATCTGCGCCGCTGCCGAGGTGGAAGCTCGTAAGCGCCGCAACGGTGAACACTACCTGGCGACTGAACCGCGGTTGTCCTCAGTTACACAAGGCACAGTACCGCTGATCGAATTCCAATACGCAGAGGCGGTTTGGTACATTGGCCGCTTAATCCGGGGACCAGCTCGTATAGCCGCGGTCGATCCTCCGGATCCGGACACGTGGTTTGGCGACGACAAAGAGCATGCATCTAAGAAGAAGTCTAAGCTGTAATCTGTGCTTTGAAGACGCTGCTGTGATACGTGGTAAATGAGTTTGGCTTGACCCGGATTCTGGAGTTCGAATTCGTTGGCTGTCTTCGACTTTAGACTATGGAGTCCGGTGTACCGATAGATGTGTATTTATGATTGAACTCCCACTTGCAACCGCTCTACCTGGAACTACTCTACCTCTTTATCGTCACGTTAGCTTCACGGAACCCCGTCTCGCCTATCACGACATACGCTCCTTTCCTTTCTTCGATGCTCGCGTAGTGACTGATAAGATAGACGTGCCTCCTGGGTCTCTGTGGCTGGCCTCGTATCTTGCCATGACGTCCTTGATGAGCTTCGCGCAGAAGTTGTTTTATCTTTCCCCTCTTCCTTCCCCAGCAGAATCAAAGACGGCCTCGACGAAAGACTAGGGCTGTGTGTGCCTTTCCTGGTGTTGTGCTTCTCCCTGGCGTTTGTCGTGAGGTCTCTGAAGAAGCCTTACTCGATGAACGCGCCATCGCCATCGTCGGAGCACTAGCACCGATGCTTGGTCTCGCGGATCGGCCCCTCGATAAGGTTGCTGCCGATTTCAAGTCTGGCTCCTTGCCCCTCTTATCTATCCGATGGGCTCTCATCCCAGAGTCACTTGGACGCTTTGCCTCCTCCGCCTCAGCTTCGTGTCGAGCTTCTCTGTCCTCTGCCTCCACTTCCTCCTGTGCCTCTCCGCCTTCCGCGGCGTATTGATGCCATTGGACCGCCTAACTCTTCATGTTATGAAGCGTGGATGATACCCATTTACCCTGAACCCAGATATGTGCAATAATCACTATCGTCGGCTTGTCATGAGGAGAGTGCCGAGTTAAATCTGATTTCAGGATCTGGCATAAAGGGGTTCTCCTTCATCGGGAGCTGGGATTCCCTGCCGGCCGCAAAGGACTTGAAAGCTAGCGTCAGAGCGCTTAGTGTATCTACAATGAACTTGCTTTCTTCTTTCTGTTTCTGTTCCTGCGCCGTTGTCGTTGTGGAGACCCGACATATCAGCTCTTGTCTAGCTAGGTCGACAAAGGAGAGTTTTACCTTTGCACTTTTCAGTCTGAAAAATGGTGAACTCGAAGATGGCATGGCTGCGAGACGACTCTCTATTCGCGGCAGTACTACTCGTTCTGCGTTGCTGGTCAACGAGTTTGTTCAGATGCTTTAATTGGAGTAAAGAAAGAAAAGGTACCCTGGGTATTCTCCCTACAACCTCAATTGAACTTTGGCCCTCGATTTTTAAGCCATTTCTAATCTCGTTTGCAGTGCTATGGCGCCTTCCTGTTCCAATACGCAACGTCGTAAACACCATCACACGCCACCTCGACACATGTAGCGTGAACCGTCGAAGCCTCTGTCCCTGCACCAAGGACGTGTTCTAAGCATTGCAGCATCAGTCCCTTATCTGCGTTCCCATTCTCAAGCTTTATGCCACGTAGCAGTGTCGTACTCCCCCCAGAACCAGACTCGCCATAGGCAGAAATGATCAAAATCTCTGACCGTATCGTTTCGTCTAAGAAGTAAATCAATTCCTCAAGTATGTCGTTATTGCTAGTTTGGGGTCCGAAAACTTGCTCAAGTTCGACGATGCTGTGCTTGAAATTCTAATCGACGTGAGTCGCGTTCCACTTGGACAGCGTCTTTGAGTCAGACGAGAGAATGCGAGCCCAGACGTGTAGTTTCGAGCCAAGACAATGTAGGCGGTGTAGCAAGCGCTCTCGTAACAACTACGTGGATGGCTTATTAGTTGAGTCAGATTAGAAGTTAGAAGTGGCCTAGATTCGTCATTTTCAAGTCTAGAGAAGGAAATTCTTTTAGACTAGGGGTTCATCGGAGACTCCTCATAACTTACCCAGTTGCGGGAAGCAAGTCGTCCTAAAGCATCGACAGCCTCTGCTTGGGCCTTTTCGTAATGTTCTTCCATGGTATGCAAAGTCTTTGCTGCCTCTCCATCTCATCTATCGCACCCGAAGCTGAGGCGGCCAGTTCTTGAGCCCTTTTACGCTCGAATTCCATCGCATTCAAAGCCAAGGCAGCAGCTTCATTGGCTTCTTCGAGTACGTGTCCGATCATGTTACTCGTCTCGACTCTGGCTTCTTGGAGCAGCGCAATAGCGTCTGAAGTAGTTTTTTTAATCTGCTGTGGTGGCGCAGCGCTTGAAGTTTGAACAAGATGCTCTTCACGCTAGCTGATGCATATTTGCACAACTTTAGATATGGTTATGGGGAAGATGAACAGGTGTGGTGGAAGCTCATGTATTGGTGTCAGAGGTAGCCGCGGGCCCAAGTTACACGACATAACGTTATGACAATCATGAAACCAGCCACTTCAAGCCACTTCTGGGACAAATACATTATTGGCAGACTTGGACAAATAGCAATCTTGACACGGGGAGAATCCAGCGTTCACACACTGTCGCGAAAATAAAGCTACGACGAAGAAGATTAGAAATATATAGGTATAGATTGCCATATTCACACTGATCATGTCCAGATACATTCCGTCTCTTCCCCTCCACACGCCCCTGATCTATATTGTATGCCTTATGTCTTGGACCAACACCTATATTACGTCGCTTGCGCAAACACGGCCAAATCTACAATGTACCATACCTACATGGAACCAGCAAGGGATAAACTCATCCACAGTGCATTTCCAAGTAGCACCGTGAACAACGGGCTTCGAGATTAGTTGCGTGGATGTCAAATACTTGGAAGCTGTGGTCCGGCTTGCCTTGACATTTGAAAAGGACGAGGTCGGAAATGCGGCTTCTTTAGATAAGATGTGTCATTGTCTTCATCCACGGGCTGGATCTGGTTCAGCAGTAGCAGTCGATTCCGTCTCTGTGTTTCTTACCACTGGTTCAACAGGGGAAGAACGACGACAGTGGCGACAGGTCCTAGCAGCAGTTGAATAGGTGGTGGGTTCAATGGCTAGAGTTATCTCCACCGAGCAAAAGATACGAAAAGGAAAAGTTCAATATGAAGGAAACCCGGCATAAAGCCGCACATAATAAACACCAAAACCATTAGGCATACAGAAGTGCAATAAGACAGGTTCAAAGGATATACAAGTATGTACCATACGCTAGGAGATCGAATAGAAACATCCAGGACTGAGTCCACTAACGCATCTCCAGCTGACAAAGGGGAACTACCAAAACCGATTCCAGCAAATCTTGCCACGATTTGGAGGAAGTGGAAGTATGATGGTGATGTTAGCAACGGCGATGGTAATGGTAGCCTGCTCATGCTTAAAAGGCCGGGTGTGATGGGAACGTCCTGCTTGTAGGGATCCGTATGGGTATCAATATCGTCCAATAACGTGGGCATGTTGAAGTGAGTAAGGTCTGGACATGTGTTTCGCTCTGTCTCCTTGTCCAAGTATGGTAGGTACACATTAAATACCATATGCTCTCATCGACGGCATCTTATACCTTGATCCGATTGCCGCCAACCTTGGTTTGGAATCTGTCTACCAGAACTATGGTAAATGAATCACTCGGCATTTCTGTTTTTGCTCTACAGTGCATTGATGCGACGACGCAGACACCATACAGCCAGGGGGGGGGGGGGGGGGGGGGGGGGTATTAAAAGCTGACGCAAAAACAAAGCCTTGAACGCAAGACGCAAGACGAGGGCGGCGTTGTGCCACGCCTCCGGTCAGAAGTTTACTCATTACTCTTGTCCCGGGGGGCGTTTGTCTGGCTGCCTGGATTCTCTCCCGGCGG